CGTACATCTCGATCTATCGACTCTTTCTTCTCTCTCTCTCTCTCTCTCTCTCTCTCTCTGATATTCTAATAACACCTTCGGTTCCTCTTTCTATCAAGCATCTGAAGTTAAAATCGACGGATCAAAGTGTGGATAATGTATGGAAAAATTTTCTGACGGCAAGATTTTCGAAATTTATTCCCCATTTTACCCAGAAACATTTCTATTCCGTATTAAAAAAATTAAATTTCATCGATTTCGCGCACACCTACTACTCGTCTATCCTGAATATCGAGAGCCCGACTCGAATTACATATTGATGGACGATCCGGTAACAATATCCGGCGACATTATCGCGACGATGAATTGTTTAGATGGTAATTGAATTACGGGAACTCGGGAAAATCTAGACGTGGGCTTTGTGAATTATCACGCTCGATACGATTGGTGTAAAATTTAATGCAAAACGCCAATCGAAACCGTTACACGTCTGTCAGTTTGTTCCCCCGGGTATTTATTTTAAATATCAATATCATCATCATTGTTGGACGGTGAATATAGTTGGTTCGTGAAAACCACTATTACAATACTACAAATCATTGGCCATCAATTTTATTACTGAATTTTATTGCCAATCGAACGAAACTTAAGCCGAATGATTTATTTTCACCTGTAAACGCTTTAATCCCGGCTAACACATTCCGCTCAAACTTCTCCGCAATATTTTATAACGATCGTAAACTCCGATGGCATAACACTTAACACAGATAAGCTCCTTATGAAAAATTTAAAATCCACCGGTAAACCAAACTTCCACAAGCGCAAAACACGCCGCTCATATTTATACCCGGAACGAAGTTCAAAATTCATAAACGGCGGTATTTCTTTACGCGCCGCGTGGCAGAAATAAAAGTGGCGAACGGGCACAGTTTCTCGCAGTTCGGATAGAGAATCTTTTCGATTCTCGGCTTTTAACCTCGGGATATTACATTGTACAATTATCCACGACCTATTGAACCTAACTTTCCTAACGTTTCAAATCTCTGTGTCTCGTGTGTTTAAATTAAACGGCGGCTATTAAATCCGGGTGAAAACGTTTATCTTCTTTGATTGACGTTAAAATTGTTTTCGTGTTTCCCTCGTATTTTCGAATGTGTGCCCGATGTGTCGAATGAATTTCACTTGTCGGATTTCATTATTTCTTCGCCTATTTATTTTTATCAAAATAAGTAATAACAAGTTGGAAACGAGTTAAAAATTAGAATGAATGAATAATTCAATTCGTTTAACGAAATTGTATTTGTTACGTTGGATTCGAAAGTTTGAGGAAGAATTTAAGGAAACGATTCTACGTATCTTCCACAGAATTTAAAGTAGATATTATATACAATCGGTAGGCAATTTCTTTCGATAGCTTTTCATCTTATATTGGCTACTCTCGTTTCGTCGAAAAGTTTTTAATACCTTTCGATCGATGATCTACATGAGGTAATTTCTTCAATCTTAATATATTTTCTTCCTTGAGATTATTTTACGAAAATCAGAATAAATGATGGACGAATCTATCTATCTACGATTTTATAAAATCAATACAAACGGAGGGGATCCGATTTTTTGTTTCTGTTCTATCGATTCCCGCTTAACGTCTCATTAAAGAATTTATTTTTCTGGCTATTTATTGAGCTGGCCTAAATTCTTCTCTTGAATTACTATATTTAACTGTTCCCAGGTATTTGTTTAAATCCAGCATTTCATTTCTTTGGCAACATTCGTAACAGATAATCCTTTCCCAATACCGTGAAATACTGAACGGAACTTAATATCGTACGTCAAAAGCGCAACGAATCTTTGGAACGATTTAACAGTAATTTACAATCGTTAAATACTGGATAAAAACTAAAAAAAATGACACAATTTAAAAAAATAAATAAACAAATTTGATGTAATCAAATATCCATCTGAAATCAATATTCAGCAAAAATTTGTCAAAAAATTGTTAATAGAGGTATTAATTTATAATCGTAAAACTAATAATAAAAAAAACAATATCAAAATAAAGAAAATATTATTCCTACACAATTTTCAATAAAAACATTTTTCAATTTACATTTACATTATTTACATTATTTCTATTTCTGTCCATATTGGTACAATTCGATCGATTTGAATGATTGAACGCTTTGCGTTATCATGAACGTGAATCTATGTTTTATCATAGGTCCATGTTCTATCCAGTATAAAATATCACGTGTAAAACTCTATTCAATATCGAAATTTATACGGCCACTCTATTATATGGAACTATTTCAATCAGCAAGTTGATAACTGATATATAATAATTCAAACGTTGTCTAAAAGAAATTGCATCCAAAGTTACGAACAACTTTACGTTTTAACATACATTTAGACTACTTCCTTGATTCGTTTGATTTCATCTTCAAACTTTGAACGTGTTCGTGGAAACTGTCTAACTGTGGCTATACGTATTATTTTTTTTCTCTCCAAGTAAAACTATTTCTTAGATTCTTACGCCGTGATTAAATTTTTGTTCTTGAAGAACTCGAAGAAAGTTTCCTTCTTAAAAAGGATCCTGATTTAATAAAATTTCACGTTACATTAATAAAATTAATATTAATATTGAAAGAGATGAAAAAGGAAAAGAGAATGATAGATAATGTCATTTATAAATTATAAGATCTAACTGTAATAAATCACGCATTACAATAATAGCATATAATATACATTATAATATAATATATGTGTATAGATAATTTCCATCGCGTTATACATACAACGTTAAACGAAATATTTATACACGTACAAATATACATTGATCGATCTGTAAATATAATAAAAACACGAGACGCTTTACAAACATCTAATCAATTTCCTCGATGAATTCGAAGAAGTGTATACGCAATATTTATTTAAGGCCCCTAATTCAACACTCGTACAATATTTCACGTGTTGTTCCATAATCTATTCCTCCCAAACTTTCACCTTTCGTCTCTCAAAAAAAATTCTCTCTCCAAAAAATAGCGTTCGATTCGAGCGCAATATCCCGATACACGATTCAAAATTCAAATCCCTGAATGAAAATTCTCAATCTCGAAGCAGATCCAAATAACTCCTCAACGACTCCGGGATCTGAAGTTGCTGTATCCCGTGCGGCAACGCCCAGTTCTCGAACAAGGCCTCCCTGATCCGGCACCGGCAAAGATGTCTCAATTCAGGAGGGCAGAGGCCGCTCCTCTCGGGCGGCACAAGCTTCTGCTCGACCAAACTCGGATACTGTTCGTATAGGGAAACGCTCAACACCCCGCTCTGCTCGGCGATGTACTCAGGCGTCTTCACGAAACCGGTCGTCACGGTTCTCAGCACTAATCTCAGGCAGAGAAGCAAATGTTCCGGGTACACGATCCGCTCCTGGCCCGGTTGGGAGTCGTACTCGCTCAACTTGCTCAGCAGTATCTCGAGGGGGGTCGGCGCGAGTTTGTCGCATTGGACCGAGGCGCCGTAACGGAGCATGATCAAAAGGATGTCCGGCGAGCCGTGTTGGATGGCAACTCTGAAAGGCGACACCTGGCCGTAAGATTCCATGGGAACGTCGATGAATCGTTGTTTGACGGGGGAACAGGCGCAGCGGTACTCCAATTTGCCGAGGGTCGCGTGGCGCAAGAAGTACATCAGGGCGCGTAGGTTCTCCTCGCGGTCCTCGAAGTCGCTCTTCCACCCTGACAGGAAGTGGGTGACCCGGGTGCCGAAAATGGCACCCACCAGGATACGCTCGAACGTTTTCTCGCAGTAGAAGATGTCGTTGAGCAGGCGGGACACGATCTCGTTGTTGTCCAGGTCCCAATCGAAGCAGAGCTTGGCCGCCACGTAGAGCACGTTGTGGAACTTGCCTAGAAGGCACACGTATCCGTTCTCCATCATTGCTATGTTGTGGTAGCGGAGGCGGACATCACTATCCTCTCGCACACGTCTTGCTTGTCTAGGTTCTCAGCTGGAAATTATTATTTGGGGAAGAATTAATTGAGAAAATGTACTCGTTAAATTAAATTGTGTAAAAGAGGGAGAAGTTTGATAATGTGTGAATCGAGCAACGAAATATCGATGAAACGTTATTTCTTTAAATATGGGTTGCCGCATATTAGTTGGTTCTAGGTTAGATTCGCATTATCAGGTTAATACGCGTAAGAGAGGATAGACGTTAACCGGGTAATCGGTGAATTACGGTTCGAAAGATATTCCTGTTAATTGATGATCCCGTGGATGATCACGTGAGAGATAGTTATCGCGGTGAAAGTAACAAGTTTAACACTTAACGTCACTCTTTCACGATGACTGCACAATGTTTCACTTCCTTGGAAACGTAAGTCTTTCTCGAGAAGATCTAACACTCGAGGAACACGATGCTTTCTAAAGCACATCGTCGATATACTTGGGCTAATAAAGGATGAAACAAAGCAATCCAAATAAAAACCTCTCGACTTTTCCGTAACCGATTAATAATTTCCATAACCGATATCAACCTAGCTTTACTTCTACCCGAACAATTATTTCTACTCGCCACGCGAATCGTCGAAACCATGTTTTCACGGATAAACGATTCCATCCGCGGGTTTGCATAATTTTTCGAGGAAAGTAAAATCATATGGTGGCACAAGCACGATGCACGAGTTTCTCCCGTGCATATAACATTACACCGGTATCACTTTCTTTCCGGCATTCCTCGATCGAACCACTTTCATGGTCGCACAATACAGTTTTCTAGGAGGTGGTGGACCAGACCGAGCTGGTGAATCGGTTCGTCCAAGTGCGTTGACACGGTCTCGAATCGATTCCCTTCCCCGTTAGGCGTACGGTAAATTCGCGATTTAAAATCGTTCCCTCGGCCCCCAATTTTCTAACCGATCTCGATTCCCGAGCCGATCGAAACCATCGTTTCAATAAACCGTTTTAGATTTACCTTGGGAACAGCTATTAATCACGTCCGAGAAGTAGCCGACCATCTCGCGACGTTTGTATCGAGAGGCCAGGCAACTGCGATCCATTTCCGAGAACAGCCTGTCGAAGTAGCAGTCGATCAACACTTCCATCGCCTCTGTTTGATGATCGCAAGTCTCGTCAAACGACATGCAACGATCCTCTGTCAACGTTCCAGATTTGAAGGCACAACTACGTCCGTGACCATTGTCCACTTGTGAATGATGGCCACTGAGCCGCGGGAACGAGAGAGAGAGAGATGGGGAGAGGGTTAATTCGATTAGACGTTAAATAAGTATATTCCAAGGGCTTCATCCTCGTTCGACCCGTGAAGGGTGGTGGGCTACTCGTGGAACTCGCCCGTGTAAAATGTTTCTTCTCAATGTTGAACGCTCGTCAACGCTTGACGTATTATTGGTAATTAACGATTTTTTTTTAAAAATGAGGATGAGGTTATGGTAATGCGCTTACGGGAATAAATTGACGTGACATGTTGCTTGAAGTTGGGATAGGCGCGCGATAAATTTCCCTCGGCTGTGTACGATTATGGCAAATGTTTTTAAATTGTTTGAAAAGAGATACGCACCGTCAGCTTTATGATCCTAACACCGTTTAATGGTTTTGTCCCGAATTACGGGAGGAAGGGAGGGTGGGAGGGGGGGAGGGAAGAGGGAAGTTGGCTTTTTTTTTTTTATTTTCCACGCTCAACGCGTGGAACGTCCGTGGAACGAAAGCTACGGGACAGTTATCGGACGTTCGAAGATTTTAAACGGATGTTAATTCTTTTTATTTAATTCCTCTTTAACTCTTAACTCGCGCTCGTATCGACGTCTTCCTTCAACATTCGGATATTTATAAGTATAATGATATTTATTCGAGAAAATTTTCTCTCTTTTTTCTTTTTTTTTTTTTTTACGAATTCTTAAAAATTTTTATTATCGTGTACAATTACACAAATTTTAGTTTGTAATTATTTCACAAATTGAGAGTATGAAAATTACTATCGATATAAAATTTACGATTACGAATGATTTAGATGTATATCAATTTTAATATCGGAGAATATATTATATTTTACAATGATAATTTTAGATTCGTGCAGTTGTATGTACTAGTTTGCAAATTAATATCGATATAAATTGATACAAATCGCTACATTCATCAAGGTTTATCTAGATACTTTTCAGATAACGAAATATTGTATTTTATAATAATAATCAATAATCAATTTCCATACCGTTGAATTTAATATTTATTATCGATTTGTTATGCATCAGATAACCATAATGTTATCATTACAGGTACCTGTGCATGCCAGAGAACCAGGATTCTCAATTTCTGCTTGAATACAGAGGACCCGTGACTATGAAAGGCAAATCGGAACCGATGAACGTTTGGTTCCTGTCAAGGGAAAGGGAGCTGTCCACGTAAATTCGCAATCACTGTGGCGGCCGCCATTTTAGCAATATTTTTCGGCTCGAACTCTTTATTCGTTTTAGCGCGTTCTATAGGAAAACGATTTTTACAATGCTAATATTCCATGTGATCTTCGATGAAAATGTCTTTGTAAAATACGATATTTAATCCTAGGATGACTTCGAAGAGAATTATTCATAGATTCTTCTGTTTATTTTTTTTTTTTTGTAATTATTAAAATGTAATTTGCTTCTCCTTTGATTCAAAGGTGGTTTGGCTATGAAAATTATTTTTGATTATTAAAAATACGTGATCGTATTTTACGTACATCTTTATACTTTGCGAAGAATATATATTTACGTAATATTTAGATCGTACCAAGCCAGGCTTAAACGTTAGACAGAAATCAATAGTTTTATCGAGAATAATAATTTCTGCAATCATAAAAAGAGAAAATTCTGTCATAACAATGTACATTACTCGCGAATTACAATTCGAAGAATTATAATAACCACCACGATACACGAGTAAACCGCACGATACAAAAGTAATCGTGCGTTTCAGTAGAAATATATTGCGTTGAGAAATATAAGAATAAGAAGAAAGAGAAATTTCAACAGTAACAAATGGCCTCGAAGGAATAAAATTTAAACGAAGAACGTTTTCTACGAATTCGTCGACTCGTTAGGCAACATTCGATCCTAAAACGTTACAACACTCATATATATATAATATTTGCATTTCTATTCACGCGTTACCAACACGTTCAATTCTTCAATCAAGAAGAAAAAGAAGAGAGAGAGAGAGAAGGAAAGAAAAAGAAGGAAACAAAATCTATCATATATATAATAAGAAGTCATTCTAGGTTTAATTCGTGCTAAATACGGTTCCTCGTCAAATATATATCAACGTCCACACGATTCGCGAACACGAATGTCCAGTTACCAACTTAACGACCAGTGTTTACCAGTTGTAAATGTAAGAGGCAATTAAATATAAATGTCATCGATACCGTATAACATGTCCATCGACGATATGCGAAATTTCTTTTCCCATTTCTCGCTCGTACAGGTTGTCATCCGTCATCGATGCCACATTCAGAGGTCGCCTGGTGTAAGATGACCTCACCCTTAAACGAGGAAATAAAAAAAAAAAAATAAAAAAGGGGCGGAGAGGGGAAGGAGACGAGTAGAGAGAGGGAGAGAGAGGTAGCTCGATGGAATGTTTCCAAGCTGGAAGGTGTAACGGAACCTGTTCTGCTATCCAACACGTCCCACGCAAGGTCAATACACAGATATCTCAACGCTGAACACGATCAAAGATGCGACACAGATTCCAACAATCATTTTTCCTGGTGACGAGGAATATCTCAATACAACGTTTCGTGCCGCGAAAGTAATATATCATGCTTGTTAGGAACCGGGCAAGGCGTCTTGATTCTTTTATATATTTACGAGTTGCATTCCCCTGTGTTATACAATCATCTACAAAAATCTTGGGTGAAAAGTAAAGAAACACTGTGAAAAGTTAATTTTTATTTCGACGTTTCTTCGATTTTTGAAAACGCGTAAACCAATGATGAATCGATTTAATTTTTGTTATCTTCTTTCTTTTTTCTTTGGTTTTCTTTTTTGTTATTTTTTTTTGTTATGGAATGTAATTAATTCCAAAGTGAAATTTTAACAACAACTTTCAAGTTTGCACGAATGTCTCCTCGGATGACTGTATGTATATCATGTGGATAACATTTTATTTTGTATTTGTGTTTTGTTACATATTGTTTGAAAATATTGTCGAACGAAAGATAATCAAGTTAATTGCAATTTGTTTCGTTGATTTTACGACACTTTTATTATTGTTTCTTATTTACACGTATACGTGTAAATGGTAAATTCGAAATTACACATGTAATTATTTATAACGTTATTAGAAGTACATATAGGTTACACGTGTTTACCAAGATTTGTCAGTTATATCTTGTGACTATTCACGTGTTAAGTAATGATAATAATAATGGTAACATCTCTGACCAATTAAGAATATCTGTATATCTATTTATTAATGTTAAATTTTTGTGAAACAACTACGTCATAATAATTACATTATAACCTGCAAGCATATGTCGAGAAGTGAACTTGATATTTATTGGGTAAATATTCTTTGTCCGATTTGATTAATATATCTTCGTACAAATAATAAATACGAATACTGGAAACTTGCGAGAGAGAATTAAATTATATTAAATACATTGATTCCATTCTCAAACAAGCTTTATGCGAACATTTCGTTTAATAACTTAAAAAGCAGTTTTATGCATACAAAGCACGTACATGTATAATATTATATTAACTCTTTCACCAATTCCCTTCCAATGATAAGTAATTTCACAATGATGAACAATATTCAATAATAATTGAAGAATTCTAATGTGCAAGCAATTGGATTAATATATACAGGAAATACAAAAGAAATTACTTTTAATTACAGAAAAACTATAATTTAACTCGATGAATTAATTGGAAATAAAAATTCATATTGATGTATTATTATAAAGCTATATCTAAATAAATTTTTCTTTCGGTATGAAAAACAATTTTACTACCTTCCTTTTTTTTCGTATCTCGCATACCATTACTTTCTTTTACCTACGTTATACTTTACTTTTATAAATATTTTCGTTTCATAGTACGCTTCGCATACTTCGCGCAAAAAACACACGTGATACCACAAATTGTATACCACTATATCCGTACAATTTCCAACAGCATCATTCGAACCTGCATGCAAGCATAGGATTAAGGAGAATAAAAATAAAAATAAAAATAAAAATAAAAAAACAGGTGGAGAAGGAAAAAAGGAAGCGGATTATGGTTTCCTAGACACGCCGGTTTCATGTTATTTTAACTGTTTATAAAGTCGCTTATTCAATCGCATGCCGCGGTAAGTGGTATGCAGAATACAGGTTTCGCGAGGTGGAAAGAAAGGCGAACACTCAACCCAACTGGTTTACCGGGTGAGGTATGTGGAAAATAAGGCCAAATAATAAAGGAAATAAAAAAGAAAACCATCCGACGTTATGGGATTAACCGATCGCCGATACCCGCCGATCTCGAACGAAATCGTGATTTAAACGGAGGAAAAAAAAAAAAAGAAAAACATTGATATTTACAGTTCTGGGAATTTTCCAAGCCACAAATCAACCTTGTAACTCGTTCTTCTTTCCTTCTCGCCCGGTAACGCGTATAATCGATCGTAAATTTTTCATGAAACGTGTGAAAAACGTTGTATCGCGAGAGCCAAAGGTAAATTTGTGTGTGAATTTGACTCGTGGAGGGAAAATATAGGAAAAATGTGTATCGACGGTCGATACGTGATCGCCGCATGGTTCGAGGGGTTGCCTGTCCATCCACCGAGGATACTTTTCCTTCCTTCCTTCCTTCCTTTCTTTTCTCGAAAAGCGATAGTTCAAGGATCGATTTCTACTCATTTGAATATACAGATATTCGGGTTGCTACGGGAAGGTGAATTAACGTGACATTATTTCGCTTTCTCGGATAACTGTTACTTATCGGGTAGGTAGATAAATCGTGGAAGAATAACTCGTGGAGAAATAAGTTTGCGAAGAAAGCAAGAGAGAGAGAGAGATATATATATTAAGTATATAATAACGTATAAAATTAACCTAGATAATGATAACGGTGTCGAGGTAAGCCTAGGTCGTGAGATGTTAGATTTGTTATCAACGAGAGAATTATAATGGCATTTACTTGCTGTTTTTTCGCTTGGGATCATCATTATTTTAATAGATATCTTCGGTTGATTTCTCTGGAGAAAAATTACCATCCATCGTTCCAACATTTGTCAATTGATCGTGGTGACCTTAAACGTGGAAATTTTTTACTACTTTCTACAAATTCGATGGAGTTTTTTAAATTTCATTAATTTATGATCCATTGGAAAATTTTAATTTAAATTTTATTAATTTGACGGTTTAAATATGGAAGTATAATAAAGTATAAAATGATAAAGTCAAACTTTTATCAGACTTGGGCAGAAGTCTGATAGATCTAAGATACCATTATTTGAAAAATATGAATTACTGCAGCCATTGAATCCATAAGAATGTATTAAAGGGAAACCCGTATAATAATGCATATTGTTTCAAAAAATAACATTTTTTTCTCCCCCCTTTCTTTTTTTATCACGATAAAATATTTTATTGCATAGGTTATAGACCATAAAGCGTTACATTTTACCCGGTAGGTGTCTACGACGTTTCATCGTCACTTTTACAATAGGGATGGGAATACGTGCGGCAAAGTTTGATCAATTTTATCATAAAATACGCGTAAATCTCTCTAGATTAAATTTGAAACGACAACAGGACAAATAAACGTATTAAATATCAATTGCGTGAGTTGGAAATTTATACGACGATTAGAGAATATCGATCGAATTTTCCCAGATAGGTAAACGAACTTTCGTGGAAATAAGCCGACACTTTAGTCTAACAAAGTTCGTAATAAACGAGATTAAACCCTGATAACTCAGTTCCTTATTCATTATGCCACACACGTCTCGGTAAATGAGATTAAATGCGTCGAACCTATAACAATCTCTCCACAAAGTACTCACGATTCTCTCTAAATGGCGTAAAATTTAACATGATGATCATGTACCAACCGTTTAAAAGTTATAATAAATTAACTCGAAACGTCGTTAAAATAATATTAACAATTAACGAGCAAATTGATGAAACGTTATTAAGTGGCTTTTATTAACGATGATCTTGTTAAAGAGATATAAGTTGGTAAATTATAAGTTTAGAGAATAAAAAGTGAAAAATATAATTATAAACTTTAAAACAGAGTTTTTAGTCAAACGATAATTTAAGTAAGGAGTGAAAGATTTGCAAGAAATTTGAAATAAAAATAGTAGATTTGAAATAATAATGTATTGTTATATATCTATTTAACAGAGCTAACAAGAGAAGTTGAATCACGTTAAAAGTTATCTTCTGAATATGTATTAATTATATTTATACGTAGATATATGTAACATTTTTTTCTCTTATCCAGATTTTTCTTCTCTTGTTTGTACTTTAAATCGATCCTCCTGGAGAACAGGTTGTTTCGTCGCGACGAGAAGAAGAACTCAACCTGCTCTTTTTTCACTTCGACTCAAGATCAGTTTCGACTGGGTTGCCAAGCACCTACCTGTTCAAGATGACAAAGTAAAGCGAGACAAATTTATTCTGAGTTTTCTTAGGTGTTTTTCACTTTCTCGAATGTGACGCGCGTTTGTCTATAACGTTATCTCTTATCCTATGGAAATTTAACTTGTCATTTGTTAACGTTTTAAATACTTTGCGCGAGAGAAAATTGGATAAATTATTTTTTTCTAGTAGTAATGAGATATTTTTTCGATAATATTTTACTTGTTCTTGAAAGTTTTTTGAAAATTTCATTTCTACTTCATTATCTAAGTAGCTTTTTAAATTAATCATTAAGCGATTTTTTTATATAATCATTGAAATAACAAGATATTTAAAATTTTAATCGTATTCGTATTATAGATCCAAGATTAAAAAGGATCAATATGCTTAATTTATTTGTCAACGATAAATATAAGTTGAAAAAATGAGCGGATGTAGTCATTTGTGTCGAACATTTTGCAACAGAGTCTGGAAATTTGAATACATATCGATCCATAATTCACGCATATTATTCCTCCTATAATTCTACATACAAGAATTTTTTATTGGAGGATATTATATTATATCCTCCATGAGCACCATAAAAATTCCTACAATTTTAACATTTAATATTTTTTAAATATATTTTTCACGATTAATATTCATAATATGCAAAAGATATTAATACTTGATGCAATACTGCAACAATACAAATAAACGTAACTCATAATATTTTTTTAAAGAAATGTAAATTTCTCTCCCACAATGTTACACCACGCAAAGATACGTAACCCGTTTGAAATCACAATGCCAATAGTATGACTCACATAGCTAAATAACGAGTCGACATCGATAATTACCCTTTTGCTAATATCGACTGTAATTACCCTATTGCTAATATCGAATCGTAACCGCGATGACCGCACTGATCAATCTCTATTAAAGACGAGAAAAAAAAGAAAAAAAAAAAAATCGTCTCCATGTCAATATTCGAATATTGTTGACAAAAGTTGGTGCCACCATCGTGCAGAGAAATCCATTCATCATTTCCACAATGCGACGCGAATTATCGAAGAATTACAACCGTTTTGCTCTCGTGTAAAAGTAATTACACGGTCGTTTGCAACGCTTACGGTTAATAGGGGCAAACAAAAGGAACAATCGTTGCGTAAGTCGCTCGATACGTTCTTTCGTCACGGGAAACATTTCCGTATCGAGAAAATTCGCCATTCTCGCTGTTATTCTCTCGTTTACTTTCCATTCACGCACTTCATCCGCGTGTATATGTACACATATCTACGCATACAACCTTGACGAGATAGACATAGCTGGATGATCGATCTTTCATCCCGCTCCAAAGAACGCTCAACGGTATCAATAAAATTTTAGCAGGTGTACCCATTCGATCAGGTATGTACCCATATATGCTCGCACAACCTATCTCGCGCAACCTGTGCCCACAAAGCTCGCACGAAGTGTGTGCGCACGCATACACGAGAAAGCCGGTGAACGGTAAAGAACAGGTATTTAAATGAGAAACCGGATAGTCGATTCTGCCTGGCTCGGTAGAGGACGCCACGTCCTCCTCGAGCAAGTGCTTACGTGCCAGACGACTTCCAACGGAGACCCGTTCTCGTCCACCCTTCTTCCACTCTCGCGCCTCTTTCTCGCTTATTCATCGATACACACGCTCGCGCTCGTCCTTTCACTCGCTCGATCGCCCGTTAACGCGCTCGCTTGTTCACTCGCACGTCCCACCTAACCGCTTATTTACCTACCCACACACAGTCGAATATCAAGTCTTTCATTCGCTCGCTCATTCACTCCGTATTCCAAACCCATCTCTCCCTTACTTCTTCTCTCTCTTACTTCGTCCACGAGCCTTCTCGTTCTTTTTCCTTTTTCGCCCGTTCCAAAAGCCTCCACACGTCGCTACGTTCGTTCGTATGCGTGCGCACGCTCGCCGTCTGGCCCAGTACTACCCCCACTCCTGCGACAGAGAACCAGCCGACGTCCCCCCACTCCCGCGTTTCGCTGTGCCCCGTCGCGAGTCCCAACTTGGCCCCCCACCCCGGCCAACGAAACTGCATGAGTAAGTGTCAGAGGCACTCAGTACAGTTACTGACGGCCCGTACCGTGAACGATCGCCGTCGTCGACCGTTGTCATCGTGTCGTCGTCGAATAGAGTCGCGGTTTTACCATGCGCTGCTCTTGATAAACGTATGCGGTTAGTAAGTGGCGGCTACTCTCTTTATCTATCTCTTTCTCTCTCTTTCTCTCTTCGTTCTCGCGTTCTCTTCTCTCCTCCACGGTCTCCTTCTGCGTTTCCAAGGAGACAAATTTTCTCTACGTCTCGTAGTACGCAATCGCTCTTCTCCAACGTTTTTCGAGTGCCGACTAATCGCGATTTGTCTCGCGATAACTATTCCCAGTGTGGCAGATTACGTTCGATCGGTTGACGAGCATCGGAAGTCAGGAAAACACTTTCTGTCTTTTTGTGAGCCAGATTCGAAGTAAAAACGAAGTGGTGATTGAAAGTCTCGTACACCTTGGATCTGGGTACGGGAATAAAGTACTGACACTTGTCGATGATTTCGCGATTCAGTGGAAATGTGCAATATGTCGCGCCATATGTTGCGTTCCTCGTTGTGAAATTACGTTTACGTGACTCGTTACGTAGGAAAATTATTAAATCTCGTCTAAGAAAAAGCTCATCATCGCGTGGCAATTAACTTGATTTCATTCTAGTAATTCGAATTACCCATCCGTGTCATCAACGCGTTTACTTACTTAAAATACCGATTCCAATTCCAACGTATTTCCTCCAATCATATTAAAAAAAATTATTCCAATTAATTAATCCAAGATTCCAAACGCGTCATATATACAAAAATCTGATTTCCGCAGGCAGAGAAAGGAAAAGAGAGAGAGAGAGAGAGAGAGAGAGAGAGAGAGAGAGAGAAGAAGAAGAAGAGAGA